GCAGATTTCAGTTCTGTGTGGCTGTAGGACTGACGTTCCAGCTTCCTTTCTGGCTGTTGGCCAGGGTCCAGGGCCTACGGGCCAGGGGTCAGGGGCTGCCACAGTCCTTCCCACGAGGCCCTCTCCACCAGCAACGGCACCTCGATTCTTCTCACACGTGTAATCTAACCTCCCTTTTGCCTGCCTCTTCCAGTCTCCCCTTCTCCCATCAGCTGGAAAAAGTCCTTAAAGACGCCTGTGATTCGATTAGGCGCACGCAGATAACCTCTGAATCTTAACGTCGCCGGCCGTGGAATTTTAATTACAACTCTAAAGCCCCTTCTTGGCAGTGCCCACGTTAGTGTTGCATCGAATAATGAGCGATGGGGATCCTGGGGCATGGTTAGGCTTCTACCCACCACATCTATAAACAGAGACACACAAAAAGGCCAATTTCAAGTTGTCACGGTGCCACCCTGTCTATCCTGAGCCCCACTGCAAGCAGCCAGCCAGTCACTCAGAGAAATGATGGGTTACGGTAGGCACTTCAAATCCACTTACTTCTCCCACGCAGAGCCTCTCACTACCGTGGTAGGACCGACGGGAGGAAGGCCCTGGTTACTCCCGTGGTTCCACGCCTGTCACCTGCCTGGCAGGGTCTCGTATAGAAATGGAGCTGCCTGCCTTAGCCAGTTTGGCTCAGTGGTTACAGTGTCGGCCTGAGGACTGAAGGGTCCCGGGTTCGATTCCAGCCCAGGGCACATACCTGGGCTGCAGGCTGGATCCCCGGCCCTGGTCGGGGTGCATGCTGGAGGCCACCAATCGATGTGTCTCTCCCTCGCTCTCCCTTCTACTGTCTCTGAAAATGGGAAAAATATCCTTGGGTGTGGATGGAAACACTCAAATGTGCGTTAACTGATGAGTGGATAAACAAAATGTGGTCTGTCCACAAACAGGCCATTTGGCAATGAGTAGGAATGAAATACTAATTCGTACTACGGTGTAGAGGAACCTTATAAACAATATTGTAAGCGAGGGAAGCCGGTCGCAAAGAACCACGTATTGTACGATTCCATTGATTAGAAATGTCCAGACGAGGCGAACCCACGGAGGTAAAAAGTCGGTTAGACAACTGCCAGGGTGAGATCACGAGAGGAGATGGGGGCCACTGCTAACGGGCAGAGGCTTATCCTGAGGGTGATGAGAATGTTCTGGAATCAGACAATGGTGTCTGCACAGCTCTCTGACTATATGAAAAAACCACTGGAGAATAGACCTTAAAAGTAAATTTTCTGATATGTGAGGATGAGAAAAAAATGAACACGTTTTACTTACAAAAAAAAAAGTTTGGGCAGACATAAAAACCCCCTCAAACAAATACAGCTGTTCCAAACCCCTGCTTTATGGCGAAGCCGTTTCTAAACGTGCTGCAGGGGCGGGAAAAAAGTTGCAATTTCTGTAATAATAGGGAAAGTTTATCGAGTGGGTGGGTCAAGTACTTATTTCACTAACACTGCATCCTGCCGGTTTCCATGACCCCAACCTGTCAAATGGTTCTATTTTTGCCCCAGTAACTTCTAGGAATTTATCTCAAGAATGAGTAGAAGATTCACCGTATACAACGAAAACGACTGACTTACCGCGTGACATTAGCTGAATCACGACCGGCCCACGCGAGGGAATCCCGTGTGCTGGAAGCTGGCTTAGAAACATACTCGGGATCGGGGGGAAACTGGGGGAGATCCGAAGTAGGAAACGCGCATTAGCCCGCAACCTAGTCGTTACGTTCCCTTGATGTCAAAATGGACGTAAAAAGAGACTGGACAGAGATACACTGAAATATTAACTGTGTTACCTGGGGGTGGGAAGCAGATGCACAAGATAATTTTCCTTGTTGATGCTTTTGCTCAACTGAAGTATAGTATTTGTCATCAGAAAAATAAATTTTTTTTTTAATGACAGAGGAAAAATGAAACGTTACCCAGCACACTCATGTGGATCTCAGGGCAAGGTTGCTGGATTTGGGACCAGTCAGGGGCCAGCCTGCATGGTGTGCAGGGGCCTGCAGGAGGTGGGAGGTGCTGGTCCCACTGGAGGCCCCTAAAAGGCGGTGGGTGCTGGGCCCTTCCCATCCCAGCAGGACCCACCCCACCCCACCCCAGCAGGACCCACAGGCCCAGGGCAACCTCTGGGCTCGGACTTCAGGCTCTCCAGTTAATAAAACAGCTTTACTCTCCCATCCACACTCCAGCCACCCCTGCGGGAGCGGGAGGTGCCCTGTGCTTCTCAGTGGGGCTCCAGGTGGGCAGGTTCCCTCTAAAGGAATAGGAGTTGAGACCAGGCTCGAGGGCACTTTCATAGCATGACTTCGGGGGAGAAAACAGGTACTTGGCTCCTAAGGACTTGCTCAGCTCATCCAAGGCTTATCCAGAAACAAGCCTTTGTCGAGTCCCTCCTGGACTCCTTTACAAGGGACAGGACACTGCCCACTGCCCTGTTCAGGGGACACAAAGCCAGGACGAGGACCAGGACCTGAGGGGGTTTGGAGAGCAGAGACTGTATTGAGTGATAGTGTCACTTGTCCCTGTTGCCTATTACCATAAATAACGAAGCCCGGTCAGAACGGGCGGGCCCGAGTCCTGGATGCCCGTTGGTCATATACAGCTCTGCTTACGGGTGACACTGCAGCCCATCCCAGCGCTCACGGGATGCGCTCATCACAGGCTGACTTGGAGATGCCGCTCACGCCAGAGCCCCATCAGTGCTGCTGAGACAAAGGAGCTGATTGCATCTCTTACTCGTGACAAATGTGACACGCAGATTTTGAACGTCTTATTTTGAAGCAATTTTAATCAAAGTTAAATGTAGCTTGTCAGCTTCACCTTCAACTCAGGAGCCCTGGTGGGGGCCCGGGGCTGAGGATGGCAATGTGATAGGCAGGCAAAGGAGAAGGGACACAGGTGACAGGGAAAGGGGGCCTGAGTCCCCAGACAGGGTTCCAGAGCTGAACCTGCTCTGCTAGAAGCATGGGGGCCCTGGAATCAGACACACAAAGGGCCTAGTTGGGGGAGCACAGAAAGAGGGGTCCAGCATAGAAGCCCAGCCATTGGCTTGTTTGGGGAAGACCTAGAGTCCCCGAGGTGGAGGGACAAGTGCCACCAGAAGATTCAGATCTTCATGGGGGCCAGGTATTTGTGGACACAGGATGGCACTTTCAAACTGAATATGCCCTTGACTTCCCCACCACCACCTTATGAAGTTGTTGGACTGGGATTTACCCATCAACTGTTGTGGCTTCCATCATAAAAGCCAAATAAAATTACTGCACCTGCGGAGTACTAGGGAGTTCTCCTTAATACAAAATGAAGGTAGGAAATGGCTGGGGTCCCTCAGGGCCTGTGGACGGGGTCTCCCAGGCACGGAGGATGCTCAGTGCTTCCTGCCACCGGAAGGCTGGCCCGTGAATCCCACTCTGTTCTCAGCAGTGCGACTTTGGTTGCTTTGCTCTCCAACACTTCATTTTTCACCTGGGTTCCAATGGGCTTCATCTGGGCCTCTAGCAGGAAGATAAAACTTTTCACCTAAAATCTGGTTCTAGATCTGAGTCCATCGCTCACCCTGGGGTGGTCTCGACTCTTTTTAGACAGGTGATCCCAGCAGGCCTCCAGCTTCAGAGGCCAGGAGGCTGGGTGGCCCCCTCCAAGGTACGACCTGGGGTTGCGGAGAAGCCCGATCTTCCTTGGATTCCACCAACACATGCCCACGTGGTTTCAAGAGACTTCACGGCAGTCGGATGACAGGATTTGGCAGCCCCCAAAGAGCATCTGAAACTTTTTAAGGTCTTGTGCTTTTTGGAGAAAATCAGTCATCAACTTTTCAAAGGGGTCCTTAGTCACCCCGCAAAGTGCAAGAAGAAAAATTAAGAGAAACACTGCTGCATCCTTTATCATCCAATTGCGTGGGGAACTCCAGTTGCCCAGAGTGACTGGACCCCGAGGACTGCTGAGGGGCGAAGGAAGGTACTTTGGGAAACAGGCCGGTGGTTTCGTATAAAGTCGACATCTACTCACCATGGGAGCCAGCGACCCCACCCTGACGTGTTCATCAGGTGAAACAAAAAGTTATACTCACTCAAACACCTGCACGGGATGTTTACAGCAGCTTTTTTCATATTCTCCGAAACCTGGAGAAAACCCCCAAGTTCTTCGGCTGGGGAATGGGTGAGCTGTGACGTGGTCACAGTGGCAGTGAGCTAGCTACTAATGTCTGCGGCTTCATGAGTGAATCCCATGCTCTGTGCTACAGGAAGGCGGCCAGGCTCAAAGGCAGCTACTGTATGATGCCACCTCTCTGACACCTCGAAGGGGAAACGCTCGGGACAGGAAAGAGAGCTTGCCTGCCAGGGCCTGGGGTGGGCCGAGTGTGAAGGGGCGCAATGGACTTTGGGGGTTGAGGAAACTGTTCCACGTACTAGTTGTGGTAACAGTTGTAATAACACTGTGTGTGTCACAATTTGGAGAAATGTGCACTAAAAGGAGTACTGTATGTAAATTACCTTAATTTAAAAAACACACAAAATATACTAAATCCACATAGATGCTGATCTTATAGCAACAGCTGGGATGTCAACAGCGGTGGTGCTAAATAAACACGGCAATCGTGAGGGAATAGTTACAGCCACTAAAAAGGATTTTCTTTCCCCAAATGCAGCAGCACAGGAATAAGCCCATGTGATGTCCTGGGGCCAGGGCAAGATGGGACACCCTGTATGAACCGGCTCCAGGCAACACAGACGCGCCAACACACGCGGACTCACAGACGCCGCAGGAAGACGCTCTCCGGCCGCCTGCCTCTCCTGCTCCGTCGCGAGGCCTCGGTGACAGTGCTGCTGGCCCAGCAGGACGCGCTGGCCACGGGACACACTCCGCACGCCCCGCAGGCCTCCTGTGGGCAGGACTTCAAAACAGGCTTACAAGGTTGTGCGAAACTAGAAACAGTGGGCAAACAGACCAAACCAGCACTTTATTTTAAAAAGTTTTATTCTGCAGATTTAGAAATTTGAGACTTTTTAATAACCGCAAAAGAAATCCAGTCACACCTAATGATTAACAGAATGTAGTGGTGTGTTATCCAAACGGAAGTCGTGCTGATGTGCCATAATAAATCGTCTATTAGTAAAAAAATACACTTTAGGGCACAGCATTGTATCACAAATTACAGTAGGGATATTTTGCAAGAATTTAATCAAACTAGAGAATTCTGAGTAACTGTATCTTTTAAATGCAGCGCTTAAAAATGTAACAACTCTGTGCATTCTTTTACTTTAAAAAAATGACCTTGTGTGTGTCATAAAAATGCCGCTTTATTGCTGCAGAGGTCGAAGTTCGAGGCTCAAGAGGTACAGGAGAGAATACAAAAGGCTGCCTTAAGAAACGTGGTTTTGTTTATGTATAAAAAAGGTAGAGTTTATAAAAGTTAATTTACAAACCAAGAACAAAAGTGGTATGCACGCGTTATGTACAAGCCTCCTTAAAACATCGGAATCTTCAAATGCGTAGCCCCCCAAAAAAACCCCCAAAAAACCAAGACCACCGCTGCCCCTCGCCAAAAAAATAAAAATAAAAAAAATCCCAAATCACACCGTTATTTTCTTCTGGGTGATCTCACGCTTCTGAGCCCCCCAACCCCCCAATTTCCTCAACCTGGTTCATGATTCAGTATCCAGATGCGCACAAAAGCCGTAAAAACTTAGTCCTACACAGAGAGAACGCCCTAAGAGTTAAAAACAGGAGGGTAAGGCACTCCTGCTGGTTAGTATGTCTGGTGATATGGTTAATTTATAGGTCCAGAGGCCACGGCACCAGCCACCTGCTTTGGTGTCCTTCCCTAAGAAAGTGTTTTCACGTACAATCAGTAATTGTCCTCACTCGACCCCCCACCCCAAAGTGATAAACCCCCTGCTGTACATTTCTGTTAAGTCCACTACACTGGTTATATACTCCAGGTGCATTTTTAAATGTGTGCATATTACCTCATGCATAATAAAATAAAATAAAATGTGTGTGCCAGGCCAGGGCCCCAATCGAGTGGGAGCAGTGTACTTTGGAAAGAACAGAACTCAAATGCACCCCTTTACCGGCTGGTATTTTAACGGAAATCAGTATGTGAAGTTAAGCAGTGACCGTGAAAAGTACAGGAATCATCGTGAAGCAAACGTCTTTGAACCTCTCGCCAACGCCAAGTTCTTCCGGCGCAAACACGCAGCTCGCAGCGCGTTTTCTGACCTCGGCTCAGGAGCGCGCTCCCTCATCTTCATCAGTTCAAACAGAACGCTTAATACTACCAGAGTGGAGCATCGATTCTAAGGAAAGTATAATACTTGATAGAGTGGTTCCATTTAGATTTAGTTAAGTTTTACCCGGTTCACATTATTTAATCGAGTTCCTATTTTCAGAATTAAAAGTGGTCGATCAGGACAGAAACGCAGTTGGCTCCCACAAGGTAATTGGGATCTCCAGGAAGACACTTGTTTTGCCAGGTTTTAGGATCACCTGTGGAGGAAAAAGACGCCATGTCACCTATAGCTGCTGGCCCTCAGGCTCTGCAACCACAGGCCAACACACATACCTACGTTAGGGTACAATTCCCTTCTATTTCTTTATTAAACTGCACTTACCCCCAGCTCTAAGAGCTAGATGACTAAGTCGAGTTAGTGTGGCGATCACACGCTACGGTATAAAAATGCTGACTCGCTGTATTGTAACCAGGAACTATTATAACTAATATAACACTGTATACAACAACTACGCTTTAAAAAACCCTCTACGTGCTACATTTCAATGAAGACCCACTGGAATCTAAGGACTCGACACGGTTTCAGGTTTCTCTTTCAGTATGTTTTCAAACAATGAATAAAAGGCGGGGACCACATGCCTGGGTCACTCCAGTTTGCCGGAGTCCACACAGTTATTGGCAGAGTCCTTCTTTCACTTTCGGAAGTCTGGATAATAATTCTACGGTCAGCCAGTTAAGCTGAGGGTGAGAATGCATTTCTCACACTCAACCACAGGCCAACAATGGAAGCCTGGGCGTCTGGGTGGGGCTCGGGCCCTGGAATGGCCCACAAGCTCGCGGCGATGTGGTACCTGCAGCAGAGCTAAGAGCCCTGGTGGGGGGCACTGAATGTCTGGAAGGCTGGGATGGCCGCATGTCTCTGGTATCCAAAAGGATACTCGAAGCTGCTGACTTTTGCTTCCCAACAGCATCAGTTCTCAACCAGGAGCTGGGGGCGATGCCTGGAGATGATTCTACCTGTCACAACTGGCACCTAGTGGGTGGAGGCCAGGGAGGCGGCTACATCCCACACAATGCACAGGACAGGCCCAATTACAAAGAATTCTCTGGCCAAAATGTCAACAGTGCCACGGGTGAGAATCCTGCCTCTGGCAGGCTGCACACCACCGAGGCGAGATCTGAGTCACGATTGGCTCAGTGCTTTAGACCAGCATGTTGAGTGATTTCACTTCCCAAGCGCATACGGGCTTATGTGATACTGAAGATAACAAATTCCTTAGGCAATGTAGCTATAACAACCCTTTGGAAGTTAAAAAAACCCTTATCTTTAGGCCCAAGTTTTTTGTTGGGATTAAGTCAGTAGTTACCAAATCTACTCTTGACTTTCTAAACAGAACCTGACAGCAGCAAAGCCTTCTGAAGTCATGCAGGACTCCACACGAAAGGCCCACTTCTCTTCTAGGTGAACACACTCCGACGTGAAACAGCTCCTTCCTGCGTTAATCTCATAGAGTAACTTAAATTTTGTGGCCTAAAACGCTGGAGTAACAAATGGAGGACTCACTTATGCTTCATTAAATATGTAGAAATAATCATTATAAACGAGTAACCACAACAGACAGTCAGTCTAAGGACCCTGGTCCTAACTTGGGTTAGAGGACAAGCAGAACTCATCTTACAGCCTGACTTTCAGAATAAATGTTCTAAATGCTGTTTTCTTAATGTTAGTTCATTATAAACGTTATAAAACGTTTCTCTGTGGAAACGTTTCTCTGAGGGAATAGCTTTTATATCAAATGTGTTAAAATTAATTTATTAACTTTTTCCAGAGAAAGTTACTTGTGAAACACATATCTACATATAATTTTTTGTCTTGGGTAGTATTAAAATATTATCCAATAATCTTTACACTGTAAAACTCTGATTTCCTACCACTCCTCTCTAAAACTTCATAATGTCCACCAGATTTATCAAAAATTCAGCAGCAGAACTAGAAGTTCTTATTTTTCTACATCAGGGTCAAGTAAAGTGATCTAGACCAAAACTACAAAAAGTTCCAAATGGCAACTGACTAGTCACCGAGGAGGTGAGAAATGTGAAAATGCAAAGGAAGCTGTGCAGCTATGATCTTAAGAAAAAAAGCCACTTAAAAAGTGTGTGCAACAGAAGTTAGAATTTTACACTGGAAAACCATGGCCAAGCGCGGTCACAGCGGAAGGTCTTCTGTCTTTCAAGCTTCTCTGGTATATATACTTTGTAGACTGAAAAACTAAATAGTAACCAAAAATAGAAACGACACAAAGGAATCAAATCATTTCAGTAAGAAGGCGAAAATGCCTGTTATGTAGGACGGTGTCAATTCTCTCATTGCATCTTAGACAAATTTTTTTAAATTTATTGATTTTTTTTAGAGAGGGAGGATGGGAGAGAGAGAGGGAGAGAGAGAGACACTGATCAGCTGTCCCACTCACTCAGACATCACTGGCTGATTCCTGTATGTGCCCTGACCAGGGAGCCAGCCTGAAACCTTGGTGTATGGAGACGATGCTCTAACCAACGGAGCTACCCGGCCAGGGCTCACACCTGAATTTTGACAGATGCGATAATTTTGTTGACCACCCAGAAACAGTCAACCTTTGCCAATCATCAGCGTTTAAAAGGCAGAACCTCTCTACCCCTCCCTGGTCACTGACGGCATCTGCAGCGCACGGGGGTTCACCACCCTGGCGAGGCCGGCAGGGCCGCAGGACAGAGGCCGAGGTTCGCTAACGGCACGGGGAGCTCCACCGGCCCAGGGTTAATCAATGACAGTCCCCAAGCCCCCAAAGGACAGAGTGAAGACAGCGTACCCGACGAGGAGTCGGATGATTTTAGAGCAAAAGACCAACCGTCAGGAGTCATGGACGCACAGTGTGGCAGGCGCAGCTCCACGGGCTTCAGGAACTTGAGGCCATGGGGCCCGCACATCACTAACGGGCTCAGCAGGGTCTCTCCTGGAGGCGGGGCGAGAGGTTAGCGGCTGGTGCATCTGCACCACGGCCCTCCTTCCCCGCCCACTGTGCTGCCCGGCGAGCTCTCCCAGCAGCACTGGCTGAGGAACACGCAGCTGAAGCCACACATGCAGGTCTCATTGTTTCAGCAGTCACTGTATCCCAACGTGTCCCCAAATCATGCCATGTCACTAATACACTAATCTTTGAAATCCTGTGTATCTGACACTTCCAGCACATTTTAATTCAAAACAGTCACATCTGAAGGGCTAAACAGCCACAGAGCCGGGGGCCCTGCACGCATCACAGGTTCTCACAGTGTACGGTACATTCACACATACTTTCTGCATGTCACGGACATGTTGTGTTTTTAATGCCACAGACCTGGTTTAAGGGGTTCACGCAGGGCCGACACGTTAGTGTGAGAAAGAAACGCGTGCCCAGGGGGAGCCCCGCTCAAAGGCTCTAAGAGAAGCCGTAGCTCTGGCCCCCATGTCATCCTGGCTGATCCGGAAAGACAGGGAGAACAGCAGCACCCTGGCTCAAGGGAGCCCCGAAATACGGACCGTGACGCTGGACAGTGGTACCCCACTCCCTGCTGAGTGTCTGCTAGAGGTGGGCCTGCGGTGGCGAGTCGGACCTGCCCTGAGAGGCTTGTGTCCCCCGGCAGGGGACAGGCACAGAGCAAAGCCTGACTGGGTGCCACCTAACCGGTCTCTAGACACAGACGGGACAAATGACTCGAAGACAAGCGTGGAGGGGGCAGCTAAGG